TCGAGGAATTTGAGCCTCTTGCAGAATTGGGCTGGACATTCGCAGAGCAGGTGCTCTGCGGTTTCTATTGCGTCTGAGCAGAATCTGCAGAGATCGTCTTCTGCTCTATCCATTAACCTTAAATGGTATTTTACTGGGCAGTGTGCTGTGAGCAGTCCCACCACCAATCTGATGTCTGGTCTGCTCATGCTTAGGAGCTGTTCAGCTCTTTTTGCTGAAAGGGTAATAAACCTTTTTGACTGTCTGAGTCCCGGTGTGTGCCTCCAATATGATGACAGTTGGTCTTTCTCCCATTTGTTGAGTTCTTCCATGATGTGGCTTTTCATTAAGCCACAGTAGGGCTCTGGTGCATGGTATGGTGTTGAGGCCCCTTCCTTTGCGAGGCCATCTGCCTCTTCGTTTCCTTCTATGCCTCGATGACCAGGCAGCCACATCAGCGTTACCTGGTGTATTATAGCTTAAAGTGCATTTGGATGGTCTGGGAGATGCCCTCCATCAATATTTTCGTGGTTGAACCACTCATTTTGTGTCCAGATCCTTGATTTTCAAGGTAAGCTTGTTTCGGCTATGATATTCCTTTAAATCACCATGCAAGAGTTGCTGACAGTGCTAAAATAAACACGTCCCAGTGCTCTCGTTTCCATATTTTATGGTAAAATATAATTTTAATTATTAGGATCTACCGAGGGGCCTCAACTTTAGTGGTACTAACCACCAAAAACCACTACACTTTACCTACGAGAGTATGCAGCACGCAGCCTCCTGCACGTTTTTGCATTTCTTCATGGTGGATCTTGTGAGGGTTTTTTAATTGAACTCACCCTGGCTCAATTGGCAGAACATTGATCTAGTAGCCTGAAGGACATGGATTGAACAGGTTTTTTTTATACTTAATAATAATTAATAAGTTTAACTTTATACCTTGAAATCTTTGGATTTAAGTAATAAACTTCGGTCCTGATCAGGCCAAGGGTTATTTTGTACTGTTACATTGCAAAGGGTGTAATTAATTATTAAGGAAAATTTTAGCTTTTTAGGTTTAAGAGATTTATCGAAGGATTTTTCTTGCACTCAGGCTTTAAAAAAACATCAAAGCTTCAATGAAATAAACAAAACTGAGTGCAGACATTTGTTATAATTATTTTTGGAGTACCTCCTTTTCAGATTTCTTTTGTTATGCATTTTTTTTGATAGAGTTCATTTGAGGATTTGGAACTTAAAAATTTAAATCTTCTGGCGCCTACTATAGACACTCCTTACTCACCCTAATATTGCTCTCTGGGGAACAGCTGCCACTGTAGTATACTTTTTGTTAAAAAAAGAGGCTACAATGTGCATTTCTTTATTTCGCAGAACAGAGCATTCTATAACTTAATAGTGATTGCAGATTTGGTGACATAGAGAACAGTAGTTTGCAAAATTTAATACACGAGTTGCTAATTGAGGAGCTATTGAAGCAAAAGATCATTTATCACAGAGACTGCTACCAAAATTTAACTAGCACTATCAAGCAAGATAGAAGATAGAACAAGCCAGAAAAATATTTGCACAAGCAACCACATCCAAATATGTTCTTTCAAAGAAAAAAGGCAGACCTTCTATTTCTACAACCTTAGAAAGATCTACATGTGGAAGAAATTACGAGAGAGCTATGATAGACACAAATGCTTTTTGTGTCAGGAAAGTAGCAGCATGGATCTTCATGAAGTTACGTCAGAAAACATGGAAAAGCAAATTGAAAAAGATAGGGGAGAAAACAAAAAATGAAAGTGTAAGAGTGCGTCTCAGTAACCTTGTTGCATCTCCAGATGCTCTTACAGCAGTTGCTAAGGATATCAAATATCATCTCCCATATTTCATAAAACAAAAGCGGCAGTTATTAGTGAAAGACACTGAAGAGAACAGTGGATGACTCTCCTCCGTATAAAAAGTAGGTACCTTAAACAGCTTATTTTAGAAAACATTCCGGATATACACTTTAATAAACCACTGCAGAAAGCCTTCTGCAAAGTTTAATTATAGCAGCTAGAAGCCGCACCGAACTTGATCTTGAAGGAATGTATTGGAGGCTACGAATTCGGCATAGTTGTTCGCATCTGATGAATCATCACTTCTACCTTACGATAAGTCAAAGGTGCTTCATCAACTGGAAGTAATTGATTCTGAAGATACTGGTGAAACGTGTCACGGTAATATCCATAGTGCGTCACGCAGCAATTCTGCAAGTGTGAGACTGATAATTATTGATGGAATGGCGATCGTACATAGGTACCATTAAAAAAACATCCACGATATTAACTTATAAAGACTTTGCAGTTGCTTTGATATGTAAACTTATAAAAACAGTAAAGCCATATGATGAAGTTAGGTTGGTGTTCGATAGGTACCTAGAACATTCAATGAAGGAGAAGATTAGAAGGAAACGGACTGGTGGAAATACAACTTACTATCACATTAAAGATAATACTTTAATTCGTAACATTTCTTTGAGTAGTTTTCTAGCGCACAATAAGACAAAAGCAGAACTGACAGAATACCTTGCTGAAAAGACGCTGCATGAGGCTGTATCTAGTAACAGCTTAAAGAAATTCATGGTCACTGCAGGCACGACTACCAGAAGTAATGAAGACGTTCCTAAAGTACTACAAACTCACAGCCATCATGATTCTTCATGCAAGTACCGGGTGTCCAAATAAGAAAGGACGCCGGCTATATCTCAGGAACTATTAGTCCTAGAGCTTCCAAGTAAAATTTTTTCTCATAAAATAGGCTATGAAAAATTGCTGGAAATAGTTTTCAAGTTTGTAAGTTGACCGCTAGGGGGCGCATCGAATACTCGAAAACATAATACTGCGATTATCTTCAAAAAACGCCCACTTAAGGTATCCTAAAAATAAAATTCTTGAAATCTTGATGAGATTATGAAAAAATTTTGTTAAGGATTTTTTGCTCTAACTCTTCAAATAAGAGGTGGGGGAAGGTTCAAACTTGTCAGGAACAAAAGATATATAACTTTTTTGTTTTTCAACCGATTTAAATAAATCTCGTGTCATTTGGAAGAGTTTTTTTCTGTTTAATGAAATGCATAAAAAAAATTACAAAATTAAATTGTATTGTTGCCGCTAGGGGGCGCTGTGTCTAAAAGTCGACAATTTTCCATTTTTTCTTGGAAATTTCAAATATAATCATGCTTTTTTTTACAACTGGGCCTAAGTGTGTGTCGAATATAGGACGAAGGTTTGATTCATTTCATACTCAAATACAACAGCTATGACGTAAAATTAAGGCGCGAAATATTTTCGTTCAAATAGTCCGTCCCAAAACTCTACTTTTACAATTATTTTAAACAAAGTTAGCAAATTGTTTCTGAAATTTCTTTCAATAGGAATATTTTTCATTTACTCCATAGATGAACAATAGATCATCGATTTCATTGAAATTATACCTTGTCCACTACCCTATTCACAAGGATGTTGAGGTTGTGGTCCACTCCCCAGATACAGACGTGTTATTCCTGTTGATTCGGCTGCACAAAAATCTGCCTTCCAACATCTCACTGTTCACTGGAAAAAGCAAAGCCTCGCGGAAAATATATATAAAACTAATATGTGGAAAACTGGGGGAGAATCCTGTAGGGGCTATTCTTTGGCATGTATTCACAGGTCGCGATGTTACGGGAAAATTTGCAGGAAAAACGAAGGACTAGTGTTTCAAAGTTTTTCTTGATTGCGACGAGTTAATCCACAAAGCTCTCTCCAGCCTTCGTCAAATTGATAAACCCGAGTGAAATGACCCTATCTGAGTTGGAAAGATTTGTATGCTTGATATACAAATCGCAAGTTCACTCGACTGTCAGAGCACTGCGTTGGTCAATGTATGCACACAAACAGGCTCTAGCTGAGCAGCTTCCTCCTACAAAGGGATCTTTAATCCTCATTATCCAGAGGGCACCTTTAGTTAATGAAGTCAACTGAGAGTCATCCAGTTCTTCCTTCACCTGCCAACCATGGTAGGTTGATGCAACATGATGGAACGCTTATCCCTACAACTTGCAATGATCAACCTACGCCGGAAGTGAATCTAAAGCTGATAAAATGTGGGTGCAAGAAAGTGTGTAAGTCAGCATATTGTCCCTGCTTGGGAAAGAAAATGTGTCGTACCGAATTGTGTGGATGTGCAGACTTCGAGTGTTATAGCATCCAATTAGAACGACTAACAGTTTTCGATAATGACACAGAATTACTGCCATATTATATGAAACATTTTTTTTTTTAAAACCAATATGTATAGTTTTTAGTTATCGTGATTTTATGTTTTCTTTTAATGTTATATTGAGCCATGTACTGATGTACAATAAAACGTCAGCCTGTAAAATTCTAATCCTTAAACCATTGGAAAAAAGCAAAATACCGTTTACCAAAACCAATTTAAAAACCCTGCCAAAAAACTCCAATTAATGCTGATAAAAGCTTCAAACATCACAGATCATTTTACACGCGCCCAAAACTTCGAATAGCGAAAAAAAAAAGGGAATACATAAACACAAAAAAACAGTTCAGGTTCGTTCGCTCCCATTTCACACTAAAACGAAGTTGGAAAATTGATGACTTCAAAACACAAAATTCTCATAACAACAAAACAAAACCCGACTTACTGAGTTTTCGTATTTCGAGCTCTCCCACCGAGTGGATTAAAAGGAAAATTGCGTCACGTCTCTTTCGATTTTCCTTTAAAAAGTAAACTCATCCCAAGCCCCTATACTCTTTCAAAAAAACAAATTATGTATCTTCAAGCTCTCCTTTATTCCATTAAGTTTGTATTTTCGAGGAGATTGGATTTGTACAAGTGCACTCGTGCGGGCCATTTTGAGAATAATGACTGGCATGGCGAATAATATCATTTTTCGGGTTTTGTGTCTGTTGCAGAAAGCGGAATACTACCAGATGAAGCTTTTAATATCTAGATTGCAGAATAGTTTTAAATAACTTCTTTTTTTGCAGCTCATTTTGTGCATGTACGAACTCCAAATCGACCTGAAAGTAGAAAACACCAGCAAGTATTTCCCGTTCATTTTTCGAATATTGAGACACTCGATATTTCGACTCGAGGATTTGACTAAATGCGAAATTCACGGTTTGAAAAACTGCAAACGCGTCCGGGCGTCTGGAAAACAGGCCGGAGATGTGGACGAGTTTAGTCAGGATGAGAAACTGGTTATTAAAAAGCGTACTTCGGACGTAAGAATAATATTTGTTGTAGTACCTTTTGTTTGTTTATCCTGATAAAAATCAAAATTAAAACTCGTTTTTCCCCAGAATGAAAAAAAAAAACGATTATTTTTGATCATGCCTAATAGTACGGGATACGAGGCCTATTTCATCAAATCATTTTATCTACAAGCGTTTGGTTATGACGTTTTTACATAACTATTTTTCTAGTATTTGAGTTGTGTTATGAGACTCCTAACACAACTAGTGGTGTTATAGACTAGGTTATGAATTCATAACACAACTAGTGGTGTTATGGACGAGGTTATGAATCTATAACACAACGATTTTTGGTGATTTGACAAATGTCAAAGGTAAACCTGTAAAGGTAAAATGAAGGTAGACAACTACTATTAAACGAAAATAATTAAAAAAACATTCCTATTTTTCGCTTTATAGATAAAACGTTGTACATCACTCGTGCGTTTAAACATGACTACAAAACTCGTGTGATTAGAACGACTCGGTCTACGACCTCGTCGTTTTAATCTTTCACACTCGTTATTGTAATCATGTTCATAAACGCACTTGTAATGTAAATAACTATTACACCGTCTTGCATTGTTATCATCAGTTAGATTAATTACATGATGCTGAAACGCACTTGTACAGGGAAATAGATGGGAGTGGGGAATTTTGCTGAAAAAAGTATTTCAGAAAATGCCGTCTATAATTATACACCGTCTTGCATCTATTTATTGAGTTAATTTGTACACAAACAAAATTGGATTAACACATGCAAGACGTTTTTATGGAGGTTTTGGAGTTGTAATATTAGGTAGAAATTGTCAATTTTTCAGAGGGGTAAAATATCATTTCACACCATTTCATTGTTGATTTAGATTAAAGCTTGAATGTAGAATAGCCACTGGATACTGATGCAAGACGTCCTGTGGAGGGATAACGGACTGCAAGACGGAGGTCAAAAGTGTTGTCTTATGAAGGAGTGAGAAATCATTTTACACCATCTTGCACTGGTACTTATGGAAAAAACAGAACACATTGATAACATTTTTGAAAATGCGAGACGTTCTAAATGGAAAGGAAGGACTGCAAGACGATGATGAAGTTGACTAATTTTGACGGGGGTCACTCCATCAGGTACAAAGGTGATTACTACTCCAAATTACAAATTACGCACATTAATTTCAAATATTTTTGCTCTTTACCACGTAAAATAATTCTATTTTGCAAAATTCTCTAAATAATATGTATATTCTGCTATGTATTTACTGGGACACTGAAACACTAGAACCTATTGAAATACTTTATTCCAAGACGGTATTTGGTGAATACAAAATTGGACAGAACGAAACTATTTACACTTTTAATGTCATTCTGACAAGACTCTCTAAAGACAGATGATGACAGATGACCAACAAATAATTAGCGCGTTCTATATAACTAATACAAGGAATCTAAGCAAGGACTTATCATTTCCTTCCTTTTTTTAAAAAAAAATCTTAACAATCTAATTTCTGAGGAGGTTTAATCAGTCGTCCAAACCTAGAAGTATATCCAGAAGTCTTGCTAGAAGTTGAAGCTGTACCAAGGTCTCTTAACAGTCTAGGAGTAGCAGTAACTTTTACTGTATGGTTGTTATCTGACTTTAGCATTTTATCAACTGTAGGACTAGTAGGACTCACAGACTCCGGTACTTCAGCAACAGCAGGCTGACTCACTTCTATATTATTACTTGAACAATGTTGGTTATCCTTGTTTTGACTTATTTGTGAATTTGACATAATTGGGGAAGGAGAAGGAACTATTTCATGCGACATCATTTTAGAAAAATCTGTTTTACATTGCCGAATGTCATTCGAACGAAAAAGCCTAATAACTTCTCCAATTTTAACTAAATAAGTACAGTAACTCATACATCTTATAATTTTACCTTTTTGCCACAAGGAGTGTACTTATTTTTTACATAGACATCTTGGTTTTCACAATACAATTTTAAGCTAGTAATATCAGAATTTACAGGTTTCTGTTTATTAGACCAAGGTTTCAACAAATCGTATCTAGTACGAGGGCGAAACTTAAAAACAGATTCTGCAGGAGACAAGCCATTCGACGTAGAGGGTGTATTACGATGTATAAATACAAAGTTTTCCAATTTATTCAAAATTGAATTTTTGCTCAACTCTTTTTCCCTCTCTCTAAATAATGAGCGTACCAAACCTCTTTTTATGGTTTGTACATTTTTCTCGCCAAGACCGGTACTTTCAGGATGCTGGGGTGGAATTCGTATAAACTTTATTCCATTAGCCTGAACGAAAGTAGTATATTCATAACTATTGAATGGAGGTCCATTATCCGATACAAGTTCAGCAGGCAAACCGAATACTGAAAAAATTTGTTTAAGAGTCAAGATAGTTTCCCTTATGTTAGTACCATTATTCATAAGTTTTACTTCAGTCCATTTAGACTTGTCATCCACTAAGATCAAGAAAACCAAATTAAATTTCTTAAAAAAATCGATATGGACCCTATAAAAATTATTAGGAGCACAAGGCCAAGGAACAAGTATACCCCACTTGTAAAATTTTGAGTTTCTTGACATGTTTCACGAGAGCTTATAAAAGCTTCAATAGCCTCATTCATACTTGGCCACCAACAATAGGATCGCATAAGCATCTTTGTTCTAACGATGCCAATATGTTCTTCGTGAAATAATTTTAAAATATCATTTTGAAGCTGTTTTGGTATGACTACCTTACTTCCAACTAATAAGCATCCTCCCTCTATAGAAAATTCCAATCGTCTTTTAAAATAGGGTTTTAAATTTTCATCTTTAATACAATTTGGCCATCCAGAAAGAGTAAGGTCAATAACCTTGGAAAGAGTGATATTCTTCTTTGTAGTTAATGCAATATTTTCAAACGACAAAAGTGCATCATAGCACAAACTAAATGAGAAAAGCGAATCTGAAACTCCAGTTGAACAATTCATAGGTAAGCGAGATAGACCATCAGCATTTGATATTAAAGAACCCTTTTTATAAGTAATGTCATAATCATAAGCAGACAGTATTAGTGCCCATCGAGTTATACGAGATGCAGCTGTAACCGGAATATTTTTATTTTTACCAAAAATGAATTGAAGAAGTTGGTGATCCGATACTAGTGTAAACTTTCGACCATATATATACTTGTGAAATTTTTTTAAACTGAAAATTATGGCCAAACTTTCACGCTCTAAATTTGAGTACTTTTTTTCATTTTCTGATAAAGTGCAAGAGGCAAATAATACTGGTCTTTCAACTCCCTTAATTTTATGGCTAAGCACTGCACCCACTCCATAGCCACTTGAATCGCAAGTAATAAAAATAGGCTTTTCTGGATCGTTGTGAGCTAAGACATTTTTAGAGGTAATCATTTTTTTACTTTCTTGAAACGTTTACTCACACTCATCTGTCCAACAGAAATCAGTGTAACCTTAGCACAAATCATATAAAGGTTTGAGCTTGGCAGATAGCATGTGAATAAACCTTCCATAATAATTTAACAATCCCAAGTAGGATTTCAACTCTGTCACGTTTTGAGGTGAAGGAGCTTTACTTATACACTCTATTTTCTCGTCTGTAGGATGGATGCTCTTATTATCTATTTGATGACCTAAAAATACAACAGAGTGTTCAAAGAACTTACATTTGTTCTTATTAATTTTAACGTTAAACTTTTTTAATCTTTTTAAAACATTTTTAAGATTCTCATTACATTCTTCCATGGTTTCTCCATGAACCAAAATGTCATCAAGATAACACTTAGTTTTGGGTAAACCAGCCAAAATTGCATCCATTATACATTGGAAAATACTTGGAGCGGAACTGACTCCGTATGTTAGTCTATTAAATCTGAAAAGATCCATATGGGTGTTTATCGTGAAAAGTTCTTTCGAAGAATCACTTATTTGTAATTGCTGATACGCACCCTTTAGATCTATAACAGAAAAACAGTTACCTCCATTCAAACTAGCAAAAATATCGGTTGGCAATGGCAAAACACAATGCTCAGTATCAATAGCCCGATTTAATGTTTTTTTAAAAACCACACATAGCCTAATATCAGTAGAATTTTTTTTTGGAACTACAATAATGGGACTTGCCCATTTGCTGTGTGTGACTTTCGTTAAAATACCAGATTCAACCATTTTTGAAATTTCTTCCTCTACTTTAGATTTTAGTGAAAAAGGCATTTCATATGCTCTATGAAATATTGGTTTGAAACCATCTTTGACTTTAAACTCTGCCTTGAACCCCCTGATAAACGAATCATCTTTAAACAAACTTTCATACTCAGATTTTATCAAATTAATCAATGTAATTTTGATATCTTCTGACATGAATTGAAATATTTGACCATCAACTGACTTGTTTCCTGTGATCTTACTTAAATTGACACTTTTATCCAGAACATTATTTTTCCAATCAAGATTGAGCACATTCAACCAATTTCGACCCAAAAGGGGTACAAATGATACTTCAGAATTAAGTACTACCAATGGTAAACAAAACATTTTACGCAAATAGGTAACATGCACCCAAACTTGTCCCAGAATCTCAGTTTTTTGACCAGTTAAAACTCTTAACTTAAAATCTACAGGCTCAAGAACTAAATTTCGAAATAATTTCTAAAAATCCTGTCGATGCATAACTGACCGAAAAGCCCCTGAGTCTACTTCCATCTCTACATTCTTATTGTCAATAATCATGTTGACCCTTAGCGTATCGTTACCATTAGACTTTAAAGACTTGATAGTAAACTCACCCATATCCTCGGATAACAAACCTAACTCGAAGCCATCTTCGGACTCTTCTGACTCGACATCAACGTCTTTTTGTTCCTCTTCAAACTCGTAAACTCTGCTTTTACACATTATAGACTTGGCAGTATGCCCTACCTGGTTACATGAATAACACTTCCAGGACACTGCTGGACACTTACTATAGTCAAAATGAACACGATTAC